CATAACATTTGGACAAATATAATTGGTTCATTTTCATTATAATTCCAAATTTAAAGATTTAATTAAACTAAATTTAAAAGTAATAATTTTATGTTTGGTAAGATATTCTTGTGAGGATCTCACCGATAGAGATGATCTTACACGACGATTTCCAACCATGTTATATAATAAGCACATGAATGAGTCCGAATATACATATTAACATATATACTAAGAGAAAGAGATTTAAGACCATATATGAAATATGATCATCACTAAGAAATCCGCGGCCAGCTTCTGCCCCACCGTAGTTAGCGGCAGCGGTCAAGAGTCGCAGCCGCTGAAACAGACGTTGCCGCAACTTCAAGCAAAGTGGAGAGAGACCAAGTCGATTGTTTCTGTCTTGGTTTTGACAGTTTTGCTGTCTCTAGTTTTCTACCATTTGGCGTCACTTGTTCAGCCACTGCCTCTACCGCTACCGCAAATTTCTAGTTTTGCTGCATTTGTGCCACCGCTGATCGCAGCCAAACAAAACTCTAACATTAATACTGATACTGTTAGTAAGCTGAATCCATTTACATATCTATCATATTATCAAAAATATGTTTGTATATTATGTTGTTTGTGTATATTATTTACGTATGCACACATTATACATTCCTATGTTTAATATTTGAATTTAAATATCATAATTGTGTCCACACTATATAATGTATTTTGATGTAAATTTGTAAAGATTTTATCGAGAAATACAACAACAATCATATCCATAGTTTTGTTTGGATTATAGTTTGAGGCAGAAGATAGGAGAAATTTGGCAAGAATCCTGAGAGAAGCGTCAATGGAAGAGAAGACGGTGATCGTAACAATGATGAATGAGGCTTACGCGGAGCCAAACTCGACATTCGATGTGTTCCTCGAGGGCTTTCAAGTAGGCGAAGGCACTGAGAGGCTGCTCCGTCACGTGGTGGTGGTGTGTGTGGACGAGAAAGCCTATTCACGGTGCTTGGAGGTCTTTCCTCGCCGTTGCTTCTTCTTGAGGACTACCGGAATGGATTTCTCCGGCGAGAAACTGTTTATGGCGCCGGATTATCTCAAGATGATGTGGCGCAGAACAGAGTTCTTGGCTTCGTTGCTTAAGCTTGGATATAACTTCCTCTTCACGGTATCTTTCTGAGCTCATTGAATGCTTCTTATAGACATTTCAGTTAGTTTTATAGTTTTGATTTTTCCGTTTATCAAATTGGTTTTGCCATTCTTTGGCCGAATGAGAAGTTTTGGTCGATTCGATAATTAAAAATTTGGATTTGAATTAGAAACAAAATAACAAACCTTTATGTATTGACAAAATATACATATATACATATATAGGACATGGATACAGTGTGGCTTCGAGATCCATTTCCTCGATTGGCTGCGAATGTAGATTTTCAGATCGCTTGCGACATCTTCAACGGAAATGTCAGTGACGCTCGCAATTCAGCCAATGGTGGGTTCATATTCGTCAAGGCCAACCGCAGAACAATTGAGTTCTACAACTATTGGTATGAGTCCAGACTTAGATTCCCTGGCAAAAATGAGCAGGACGTGATTAATCGGATCAAATACGATCAATACATCAACAAAATCGGGCTCNAGATGGAGTATTTAGACACGAACGACGTTGGAAATTTCTGCCAACCAGACTGGGATATTACCAAAGTCTGCATAATGCATGGGAACTGTTGCATTGGACAGGATAATAAGCTCAAGGATTTGAGACAAGTTCTCGAGGACTGGACGGAATTTTTGTCCAATAGCAGTCAGAAAAGAGGATTTCGACAGCCGATGAATTGCCGGAGAAGTCTCAGGCGGGTTGTTCGCAAAAGGAGAGGTTGATTCCGTTCTATTGAGGTTGGTGAAACTGAGGTAAGATAGCCAAATGGAGAACAAACATAAATAAAGACAGATGAATACTTTTATTCACACCAATACTGCATTACTAGATACTAGGAATCATTTTGTTTGTAATTGATATATATTTAATAGTGTGTATTTTAATTGTTAAATCATTAGGTGATAAGCTTTACAAAAAGACAATGTAGGGTAAGAAAAAAGATTAATATCAAAAGAAAACGAAAACAAATTGTTGAATGATGAGCAAACAAAAGTGATAACTCACATGAAACCGTTCCTTCTTCTGGAGAATCGCAATCAGTTTTTTTGCCAGCGAAAGCAGAGCATTGACGGGAGAGTCAATTTGCCGTTTTTGGTTATCTAATGTAGCCAGGTAGGGTAAAGGAAACAATATACAGTTTTTAATCCAAGTTACCTCGAATATTGGATTGCCCGGTCATATACCTTACAATGGTTGGCTATGTCCGAGATTGCATGTTTGGTTGCTATGCACTTGACTCCGTGTCAAGCTGAGATTCTGCAGGTGCAACATCAAGAAAATACTCATGAGCGAGTTCTTAGAAATAGAATACTCATTAGGATATCATCGGTATCATCTAGTAATTCAGTGAAAAAACAAAACTTAGAAGCAAGAATACTATACATCATGGAAAAGAGTTTTATGAAAACGCAATGTGAGGTCAAACTTTATTTTGCTCTCCAACACAAGGAGCATGGACACGATATTCTGAAACAACAAATCAAAGGAAGTCGGAAAAAAATCAATTGGACGATAAGCAAAACAAAAGTGAGAAGTTCACAAACAAACCTTTAAAAAAGAGCTCCCATGATCATGTTTCCAAACTCTAGATCCCTGTTAGAAGCTTTATATCCTCAACATGTTCAACAAAGGCGTGAACTTTATAATTCTTAAGCTCTTCAAATCCTTTGATTTCAACTCTTCTGAGATCATAACTATCAAGATTGTAGTAGAAAACATAAAACGTAGATATATACTCCCTCGACAAAACAATCTCACCGTTAGCAGTCACTCCAGCAATAGAAAATTCTCCCATAAATCCGGCAATACATAGACACGTTTCGACCATTCCTGTTTCTTAACATCCTCTAAAACCCATAAACACAACACAAGATTAAACCTTCCATCATCATCAGCATTAGCACGACGCCACTCGCTCTGAATTCCTCCTAACTTACCCTTGAAATTGACTAACACACTAGGCCTAGACCAAACTGAAACACCATTATTTTCCGAAATCAACGTGAATATCTCATTCCTAACATCAAAACAAGCAATCACCACATTAGAACCAACCACCACTCGACGAGCAACATAATACAAAACACCATCGATACATATCCCTTCGCTTAAAGGATAATGCGTTAAACGAGCCTTCTTCCACCTCCAATTTCCAGTTCCTAATGTCAAAACCTGATTCTCCTTAGGTGCAACATCTTTATCACAACTCATGAACAATACTTTGAATTGTTTACCAATCGGATCATAACCGAAAAAGCTATGAACAACTTCCTTGTTCGGATCATAACCAAAAAAGCTATGAACAGATTCCTTGTTCGATCTAGGTTTAGGTAAACTAACTTGTTGTCCAGTGCTAGGTTTACAAATCACAGGCAATCTCGAAATCGATTTCGGAGAATTAGGGCAATAGATCAATCCAGAAACAGGGGAACAAGAAATTTGCAATCGCCAATCTTCAGGGGAACGTATATGAAACTCGGCGGTGACTATAAGAGACGATTCGTTAGGATTCTGAAATTAAGAGGAGGAGGAGAAGATTAACTCACCGGTTTTTTCGAGGGCGATTAAGAGACGAGGACGAGTTGAGGATCTGGTCATGAACGAGTCGGTGAAATATGGAAGGCGAAGAGTTGATGACCAGAATTTGGAGACGCGACGGAATCTAGCGATTGATTTGGCTGATGATCTTGAGAGTATCTCGAGGA